AGCATACATTATACGAAGCTTAAAGACTTCGAAACAACAGGGTCCCTACGTTGTTACTAGTAACAACGGGGGGGGGGTCGTACTTGAGTTTGTAGGAGGGGGGTCGTACCCGTTTCAGTCGCTTGAAATCACATGCGAGTTTGAGGTGAAACTGAAGTTTTTATGGGTAGGTAGGTTGGGTGAGTTGAGGGGCGCAGGAAAAAAATGTGTAAATATAGGTAAAAGCCGGTAGAAGTAGAGTAAAATGGCGGAGATATAGGAAATTTTTACTGTTTCAGAGTAGCTATATACCCCCCCCCGCTCGACGGCATTTTTGGAGGAAAAAGTGGGCGGAGTTTGGTGGGTTGAGTGGTAAGATAGAGGGATGATGGTGGTCGAGGTAGGGAAAAGGGGGTCGTATCAAATCCACCTTGGGGGAGGGGGGTCGTAAAAAATTTTCAAAAAGTAACAACGATAGGGTTGACCCTGACTGGATCTCAGGTGCGATCCGCCATTCACTGCCGCAAAGAGCATATACTCCATCACCCATCCAAACCTCGCAAACTGATATCATGGCTGAATCACTATAAAAATACTGCATACCTCCATTGTGAGCACTGCTGGTAGCTCCTGATACGTAACTTTCACAAGTCTTGCTGCACGACGTGTTGTTTCCGAATCTTTAGCTACCATAAGTCCAATGGGTTGGCCTACTGCCAGTACCTGAAAAGTTAAGTTAAACATGACCACACCATTTGGAACAAGTTGTATACCGGGGACTCACTTCTCCATCGGCGAAGATTGGTGAATCATCAGCCCCAAAAATTTCCTGCAGCAGTGATCCAGGATAATTGGTGCCACCTTTTGGAATGTCCTGGATTGTAAAATTTTTACTGTTATACGAAGATTACGGTTTCTGCAATTTTTAGCGTAACAACAGTAACTGGCAGAAATAACTCGTAAAAAATACGGCTACATAGGAGACAAGAGAAAATTGCCTTTACATTGATGTCAACATATCCCAAAACCCCGTTCATTCTCAGGGCCTCTGTAGTGTCCACTTTCAGTATTTTCGCATGAGCCTTCGATGAAAGGACTACTCCACCGTAAACGACATCTGAAAAGACCTATTTGAATTACATAGCACCAAGAAAACATCATTCTCTTGTCAATCAAGGTGAGAACGGAAATGGTGTGGCGATAAGTGGCGCCACTTCACACACGGAGGTTCGCAATGACCAACCAAGCTTCTATTGCTCATGGTCGCTCAGCTGATACCAGGCTTATCTTGTAAGATGTCCGGCAGAGCAAAGTGGTTATGACTGACAAGGACAGCGGGTTGTGCAACTGCGCGGCGGTACTAGGAAGAAGAAGAAGTGGACATTAATGGTGTACTAGACCCTCCAGCGCACTGGAAGGGGGCGGGAGAGGTGGGGGCGAGCTGGTAGGATCAAATCCTAACGTCCTTACGTCCATCCGCCAATATTGCCTGATGCCGTCATCGAAACCACTTCAACCATCCTGTTTACAGTCTTCAATAAATCAAGCGAGTCGAGGTTGACAGGCAAGCGACGGGAGTCACAAATGGTGCATCCATCAAGTCACTACTAGCATCTTACGCAGTCGTTGTTAGTATTGTAATAAACAATTAACTCTAAACAAACCAAGACAAAGTTTTGAATAAACAATAACAAAAAAATTACATAATCAGTAATGAAAAACACCTTCAATCTTCACATCGTTGATAAAAACAGCTTTGCCAGTCGTACATGTGTCAGAGGACTCGGTAGGATCCGGTCCTCCATT